TAATCACAGTTGCTAAACGATAGCCATGTGCGAGTGAATTGACATTCTATTGAAATTGGTAAATGCATCAGGTCACGACAAGTGTGTGAATGGGGGCGTTTGATTGGATAACAAAAATAATTAAGGGGGAAACAAAACAAAAATTCAGAATGCAATTTGAGTTACCGTGATTGTCATACATGTAATCTTGACATGACATTAAAAATTACAAAATATTGACAGCCCACTTAATTTTAATATGCAGATCAAGTTGCAAGAAAACATGACAGAAACAATTCAGAAACTTTTAGTCAGCAAAATTGAAAACAATTACCAATGTGTAAATGCTGTCTAAATTCCCTTTTGACTGACGCTCAGGTTTTTGCATTACATTATTGCAACTTTTCACATAATACAAACATGATCTCTACAAAACGTTATTCAGAATTATTTTGAACACTTACATGACGTTTCTCTCTCTTCTGAAATCCTTCGTTAAAAAACTGTTAGTACTGTGCCAGGTTATTCTTTTTTTAAATGAGGACAGTTGTTCAGCAAAAGAGTCTGCGGTAAAATGGACACTGCATCTGACAGTGTAAGGAGAATGTCCACCCCAACATTTTTTCATTGATTTTACGGCTTTCGTCCACTGTCACACTTTCAAATCCTTTGGAAACGCATAAATTCTCACTCTAATACTATACGCATTACTGCATCTGCCAACAACACAAAAAAAAGCACTGACTGAAAAATATATTTTGTTAATAGTATCATTGAATGATGCAGTATTATAAAAGTATAGCTCGAGAGTTTGGCGTCTTCTCATATTTTGGCATTTGGTGGCGCACTTTTACTTTGAGTTAGAAAGCAATCAAACAGTCAACTGCTTCAGGATAGGTGGTTGTGGTTACTACACAAGTTATCATTTTCAAAAAAAAAAAATCAATAAATTTCAGTGGAACACAAATCCAAAACAGGAAATGTGTTGGTGGGCATTTCACAGGCACTTTAAATTATTTCCTGACTTGTCATTGCCACTTGTTTGTGAGAAACTCTGCGGCCATGAAATTTCAATGTTCCAAAAAAAAATTTGTGTCTTCCGAAACCCCCCAAAAAGGATTCATAAACAATTTCTCAGGCATGTCGGGCCCAGTTACATCACAAATGAGGTGTTACTGATGTACAAGAATTTGCTTTGGTGATTTGATTCAAACTGGCTGACATGTTGGTTTTATATTTAAAGGGGAGCAATTGGCTTTTGACACTCTGTACATGAAATTTGAGATCTATGAATGAATTCTGTCGAATAAAAACAACTTGCAATGTGCTGCGAAATGCCCTAAATATCAGGTATAAAACGGGCTGTGAAGCAGACGAAAACGTCCGCTTTGCCTGGCGTAAATTTCGCCTCTAGAGGTCCAGTTCAATGA